CCCCAAAACCCCAAAACCCCAAAACCCCAAAACCCCGGATTAAACTATAATAATAGAATTTTTAGTCAGACATTTTAAAATGCATTCTGGAAAAGGATATAGAAGCGGAAAGAAAGGAACTAGTAGTAAAAGCGGCAAATCTAAAAATATGAAAGAACTTTTCAATAAGAAACTTCAAACTTGTATGAAGGTCTATGACTACAAAGACGAGACAAAGGATGTCAAAGGCAAGTCTGAGAGGCTCAATGCTATAAATGAGCTGCAGAACTTGCTTCAGGATCAGAAAAGTGTTCAGCAATTGATCATCCCCAACCTTGATACGGTAATGGAGATGATAGAGAAGAACTTCTTCAGGCCTCTTCCCAGTATCAAGAAGTCGAATCTTGCTTTCTCAGAGACTGGAATTGAGCAAGAAGAGGAAGTTGATCCATCTTGGCCTCACGTCCAAGGAGTTTATGAATTCTTCCTGCAGCTTATAATTAATGAAGCTGCTGATGTCAAAAGCCTCAAAGTCTATGTTACACCGCATTTTGTACAGAGTTTTCTAAATCTTTTTGACACTGAAGAAGGTGTTGAGAGAGACTACTTGAAAAACATTCTTCATAAGCTCTATGCAAAGCTGGTGCCCAGAAGAAAAATGATCAGAAAGGCGATAAATGAGTGTTTCTTCGCTCTTATTCATGAAAATCACAAATTTAACGGTGCTGCTGAACTTCTTGACATTTTGGCAAGTATTATTTCTGGTTTTGCAGTACCACTAAGGGATGAACATGTTGTATTCTTCAAGAATGTTATCATTCCCTTACATAAAGTTCAGACTTGTTCTGAATTCTTTGAGCAACTGCTCAGGTGCTCAATGCTGTTCTTGACAAAGGATAGAAATTTAGCTATCCCCTTGCTGGAAGGCCTCCTTAGGTATTGGCCATTTGCCAACTGTGTCAAGGAGACACTTTTCCTGACAGAACTGCAAGAAGTACTAGAAGTATGTGAAGTAGAGAAAGTTGAGCCTATCGTGCCAAGACTATTCAAGAGAATCGTCAAGTGTATCGGTGGGACTCACCTCCAAGTTGCTGATAGAGCCATGTGTTTCTTTGAAAACGATTATTTCTTATCAATCTTGAGAACGTATAAAGACCAGACTTTCCCAATGCTCGTTCCAACAATAGTGAGTCTTGCTGAGAATCATTGGCATAAGATCTTACAAGAGAGTTTAATCGCCCTGAAAACCATTCTGAAGGAGATAGATTCCTTCGCCTTCGACGACGCTTTGAAGGAAGACTCTAAAACTTCCAAGAAGTACAACATGAAACAATCTGACGAAGAGAGAAATACTTTGGATAAGAAATGGGAAAAGCTTGATAGAACTCTAAAGTCAACTCAGGCTGGCTACAAAGCACCTGACGTGCCATTCTGCTCATCAAAGCTGATCATGGAGTACAACTCCTTGTACAGAAAGGTGTATGATAAGGAAAAGTTCATCAATCAATAATATCACTGCTTTAAAATTAACCGTGACACAATTTTACTATAGTAGTAAGGGGTTTTGGGGTTTTGGGGTTTTGGGGTTTTGGGGTTTTGGGG